CGCTGTTTTGGGATCCCCTAACTTTCGATCGATAAGTCTTCGGTCTCTGACCGATATTCTCGTTTTTTTCTTTACACAGACTGACTGGTTGGAAGACTGTGACTTACTGATTTCTGGATTTAGGACTGGAATAGAACAGTTAGAGATAGAGTCTGTTTTGTGTCTGACATTAGTCATTGCAGGGATGGGCAATACCGAATAATTCACTATTTCGAAATTATTATTTTCGAATATGAAATTTAGAATACTTCAAAAATAAATTCAAGTTAATGAAGCTTATCTCAGCGCATGAAGGAATTAGCAGCATACAATAAACAATGGAATCACTGTTACCTACAAGCTGGCTACCAGAAAATTTATATCCGCCGATTGCCGTGATATTTTATAGTAGCATGTCCTTTTTATTTTCGTAAGTACAGTACGAATCAAAATTAATTACCACCAGGCAGTATACCATACCATACGTTTAATGTCCACAGATTGCCGCAGGATTGATTTTACAGTTATTTTAATAAAAGTAATCCTTTTATTTTTTTGTAGGACGACGAGACCATGAGTTACGTTGAACAGAAATAAATTAATACCGCGAAGCATTTTAAATGCTGTTATCAGTCATTGATTCGAATATTTTGCGCAACAGAAAAGTCCATATATACTTTTAACGGTGACCGTACATTTGAACCCATGTACATTTGAACCCATGCGTATATCCACGGGTTCAATCTATATGCGGGTGCTAAAACCCATGGGTTAGGGTTAGTATGGGTTTAACTATCCGTGAAACAAAAAAAATTCCATAGGTGCAATAGCATACAGGTGCAATTGTCATGGGTTCAAATGTACGTGGGTTCAAATGTAATGGAACCACTTTTAACAATCATTATTTGCCAAAAGTGGGTGGAAGTTTAAATTATTTTTCCGTGAGTACAAAAATATGAATCAAAAATTAAATATAATCGGGCAGTTTACCACACATTATATGTCCACAGATTGCCGCGTATTTTAAAGTTGTAATGCTATTGTTTTTCGTAAGAACCAAATTAGGAATCACAAATTAAAATCGGGCAGTTTACCACACATTTTATGTCCACAGATTGCCGCATATTTTAAAGTTGTAATGGTATTGTTTTTCATAGAAACGAAACTAGGAATCAAAAATTAATTAAAATCGGGCAATTTACCACAAATTTGATGTCCACAGATTGCCGTCGCCGTATAAATGTAGTAGTGCATTTATTTATTCGAGAGTCGATGCAGCCATGAGGTATGTTAAACACAATTAAATTAATACGGAAAGGCATATTTTAAATGCTCTTATCGGTCATGGTCATGGATTTGAATATTTTGCCTCAACAGGAAATCATCCTAGTTGAAAGTCCATAAGTAAGTACAAAAATGGGAATACAAAATTAATTATAATCGGGCAGTTTACCACACAATTTATGTCCGCAGATTGCGTGGTATTGAATAATAATACTTTTATTTCTTCGTTCGTCAACGCAACAATGAGTTACGTTAATTAAACAAAATTTGATTATTACGGTGGGGCATTAAAATGCTTATCATTATTTTAAATGTCTTTATCGTTCATGAATTTGAATATATTGTCGCAACGGAAAATCATAGTAAAAAGTCGACAGTACCATCCCGATACTATTTGCCGTCATTGCATTTCCTGATAAAGCTCGGAAAATGGTTCGAAGATTTCTCTTTAAAACAAAACATCTCGATGACGGTGCAAAGTGGCTATTATTCGGAATTATTCAAAAATCATCCAAAAAAGTATTCGAATACTTTGATATTGGATTCGTTTTGGACAACCCTGTTTAATTAGTTAAAATACCAAAAGCAGAATTTGTCTATATGCATTTATTTCCCCCTCTATTTATAAATGCTGCCATGTGACTCGCAGTTGTTATGACCACCTCTGAGTGTCTTTATGTAATTCCTAAAAACTGTAAAAATGGAAAATTGTATAAAGCGATGTCAATGTATTTTTTCTACTTCATCAAATAATCTCCATAAATTTGTAACAACATTGGAAGTATCGCTATTGAAAATGGCCCAATTTAATATACATTTGGAATGTTATATCAAAAAATATTCAGAATATATATTTATATTTGTAATAGTATATTATTCATTTTTGGCCATCAATATTTGAAACACTGTGTTTAACAAAAACTAATAATATGTGGTATTTTTATTCACGTTAATTCACTTGCATTTAAAGATGTTCGTAATGTTCTGTCGATAAATGTAATTGAGAAATGATGATGTTCAGTATTATCACAACACACTTAGCTGTTATAATATTTGGTATTTTTTTAATAAAATATAGAAAATGCTGTAAAAGCATTATGGTTTATGTTTTACTTGATTATGATATATGTGCTGAAAAATCCAGCCTAAAATTGAAATATCGTCAACTCAATATATTTTGGTAATGATATAAAAATTTCAGTATTGTCTCATAGACACAACAGTATATATTTACGACACAACCGAAACGTCTTGGCTGAATATGCCCTTAATTGCATCCCAGCATTTTAATTTTATATACTTGATGTGGTAATTATTATATATATACTTTGTGTACAGATACGAATAAAGAATTATCTAGATATTTCATAAGAATTTTTTTTTTGTCAACATGAGTTAGCTATCGGTCTCGACAAAGCTCATGTCCATGTATCAAATAAAGATCATGAGCTATAACTGTTAGACATATATCCAAGTTGATCTTCAATCGATGTTTATATTCCTTGTGGGAAAAGCAAACGAGTTTAGTCCATATCCTAAAGTCAAGAAGGCAGCGCGACTAAAAAGAAGCGGATGAGTAGCTGACGGTTGAAAAACAAATGACCGACGAGAGAGTTTTGTCTGTTTCTTTATCGCCCCCAGTGGTAGGTATTCAACAAATCGAGCATTCACTATTTTCAGACGATCGGGCGAATCTTCTTGATTGTATTATATGCATCATAACAACGGTAAAACTGACTTATTAATTTTAAATTTTATTCATTTGTGTACAATTATTTGATATGGTATTGAAAACAAAGTCGTGAACCGTGTTTTGATATTGCCCCGAGGCTCTTATTTGATTGGTCATGTGACTTTTGTGTACGACGAGCCGTGACGTCGCCTCGCCCTCTGACGCTCGTCGCGGCGTTTCTTGTCAAATTTCTCGGTTGCTTATTTTCAAAGTTAAATGGTCGGTCCTGTTTATAGATGTGTTAACGATTTCGTTTCGATATAACATCGTTATATCATTTAATTAATTTACAGGTTACAATTTTCCAGACTTCGTTTAATTAAGGTCTCAGCTAGAGGCATGTGAGGATAAACAGATGAAATACAGGAATTAAAAACTAAACAAGAAGTTTTCATTCCCTTCTTTTCTACGAGCAGACGAGTGGGGAATTTAGGCAAACCTCATTCCCAGCTTGATGCCGTGATCTTTTACGTTATCATAGTATTTGGCCTAGCGTACGATTATGTCATCAGATCATAGCGCCACGGAAGAGAACAACGCTATAATGTTATGCCGTTTCTCCTCACGTATCAGTTTTATGATGCTGTCTTCCCGTAGGCTTTTCCCAATAAGGTAATATCGTCACTTATACCATACCGGTACATGTCTTGTGTATGTTTCTTGTTTTAGGAAAGTCCGGATTGGAATACCTGCTTCACTGTCTGGTTAATTTAGACTATAATTTCTCTGTAATTTTTGAATTGGTTTAAACATGGTCAACATCAATGACATATCTCCACATCTGGCAGTCTGGGCATAAATCATTTATATCTTTACACAGACTGACTGGTAGAAACTGTGACTTACTGACTTAGGACTGGAATAGAACAGTTAGAGATGTGGCCTATAGACGGTGTAGTGTCTGTTTGTGCTATTCTACTTCACTGTATTCCAAAATGTTGATGAGGCATGATGGACAGATAATATTAGTGGTCATAAGATATTCAGATATTGTTAACATTAGTCATTATTTAGTTGGTAAAAATACCAAAAGTTGGTATTCTGGTATTACTGTACCAGTATTAAGATTAGATATTATTTATTATTCATTTACATCTGAATTTCCATTCTATTTGTAAATGCTGCCATGAGGCTCACAATTGATATGACTTCTTAGTATCTTTATTCAATTCCTAAAAACTGTAAAAATGAAAAAGCGATGTCAATTTATTTTTGTACTTCATCAAATATTCTCCATAAATTTAGAACCAAATTGGAAATATTGCTATTGAAAATGTTCCAATTTAATATATATTTGGAATGTTTTATTCAAAATCTTCAGAATATATTTGTAATAATAGATTATTCAATTTTGGCCATCGATAAATAAAACATTGTATTGTTCAACAAAAACTAATAATATGTCGTAGTTTTCATTCATGTTAATCGTTTTATCAACTTTTAGTTTAAGATGCGATTATTTATGCTGAATTGAAATCTCTCAACTATGTTTATATGATTTCTTTTTGATATAAGATAATTTGATATGAGATTATTTGAATTTGGCAGAAAATTGCATGGAGTGAGAAATAACAAATTTTTAAAATTGAGTTTCTCTTAGAAGATTTACTTACTATTTGTGATTTTTTTCCAATCTTGTTTACTGACATTCAAGATGTTCGCCTAATGTTCTATCGATAAATGTAACTGAGAAATGATGATGTTCAGTTTTATCACAATACACTTAGCTGTTATAATATTTAGTATTTTTTATTAATAATATATAGAAAGTGCTGTAAAAGCATTTGGGTATAATATGTTTTACTTTATTATTTAATATATATCTGCTGAAAAATCTAGCCTAAAATTAAAATGTCACAAACTCGATATATTTTGGTAATGATATAAAAATTTTCAGTATTGTCTCATAGACACAACCGAAATGTCTTGCCTGAATATGCCCTTAATTGCAACCCAGCACTTTAGTTTAATATATTCGATGTGGTAATCATTGTATGCTTCGTGTACAGATACGAATAAAGAATTATCTAGATATTTTATGCGAAAAAATTTGTTATCAGCATGAGTTCTGTTTCATCCAGCTCCGGGCAGAGATGGAATCCGAAAAATCTTGAAATCCGTACACTTTCTGTAGAGAAGACCTTGGAACCTCTTGTCGTTCAAGTAACGACTTTGGTCAACACAAAAGGACCATCGAATAAGAAAAAGGGCAAGAGCAGAAGTCCCAAGGTTTTAGTCGGTGCTGTTGAAAAAGCGACTGATACTTTTATCGCAAAAGGAACAGAAATTGCGAAGGAAAATACAGAATTACGAAAGGAATTACAAGAAGCTGTGGACGATACTCGCAAAGATGGTGAAACAATGTCCAGAGCTTCTCATGAGTTTGCTGATGACCCATGCTCTTCTATGAAGCGAGGAAGTATGGTGCGAGCTGCCAGAGCTCTGCTATCTTCTGTCACTAGGCTTCTGATTCTTGCTGATATGGCTGATGTTCTGAACCTGCTCAAACGTCTTCGTATCACCCAGCAAAGTATGAGTAGAGTGAAGGATTCACATGATCAGGATGAGCTGTTGAGGAACTTTAAAGAATTTGGAAGAGATCTTGTTGAGTTGAATCATGCAACAGCACTTCGTCAGAATGATTTGAAAGATCAAAGAAGACGAGAAGATCTTGCTGCCGCTCGTGGTGAAATTAAGAAAAATAGCATGATGTTGTACACTTCTTCTCAAGCATATCTGAGACACCCTGAAGTTGCGGCTGCCAAAGCCAATCGTGATTATGTGTTTCGCCGTGTTGAAGAGGCTTTGGGACGTATCTCTGATACTGTACAGGCCACTGGAGAATCTCATCCTCGCCCTGAAGAAGGAACAGGAGAGCTGGCTTATGCATTAGATGAATTTTTGGACAAGATTGACATGGAACCGCTTGATTTTGATGAAGCTAGGCATAGACCAACTTTGGAAGAGAGGCTGGAAAGTATAATCAGTGGTGCTGCACTCATGGCAGATTCTTCGTGCACTAGAGATGATAGAAGAGAAAGAATTGTTGCCGAGTGTAACGCTGTACGTCAAGCATTGCAAGATCTTTTGCAGGAGTACATCAACAATGCTGGGAAAGAAAATCCATCTGAAAACCTTGAAAAAGCTATTGATCACATGGTACAGAAAACGAAAGATTTACGCAGACAGCTTCGTAAAGCAGTGGTGGATCATGTTTCTGATTCATACCTTGCTAGCAATGTTCCATTGCTCGTCTTGATTGAGGCTGCCAAGAATGGAGATGAAAAGCAAGTCAAGGAATATGCTCAAGTGTTTCGTGAACATGCTGGCAAACTTGTTGAGGTTGCCAATCTTGCTTGCTCAATGTCAAATAACGAAGAAGGGGTTAAGATGGTTAGACTGGCTGCAAAACAAATTGATAGCCTGTGCCCCCAAGTCATCAATGCAGCTTTGACCCTCGCAGCACGCCCCAGAAGTAAAGTAGCTCAAGACAATATGGATGTCTTCAAGAAGGCATGGGAAACTCAAGTTGGTATCTTGACTGAGGCTGTGGATGAAATCACTACAATTGAAGATTTCTTGGCTGTCTCAGAGGCTCATATACTGGAAGATGTCACTAGCTGTGTGATGGCACTGCAGCAAAATGACTACGAAGTCCTGGACCGAAAGGGTGGTGATATCAGAGGTAGATGTGCTCGTATTGTACAAGTTGTCAATGCTGAAATGGATAATTACGAACCAGATTACAGTATCAATAGAGTATTGGAAGCATGTCAAACTCTGCAAACTCAAGTGATGCCTTCATTCGAAGCAGTTCTTGAAACATCTGTTGGAAATCTTTCAAAGGATCCACCTGAAGATCCACAAGAGAATGAATTCATTGACACTTCTCGTCTTGTTTATGATGGAGTGCGTGAGATAAGACGTGCTGTACTACTGATTAAGAATCCAGAAGATATCGAAGACTCTGATTATGGTGAAGTCGTTGAAGGATTGTCAGAAGTTGGAGGAAGTAGAGTCAGTGGACAGACCATTGAAACTAATACTGGGGATCCAAGTGATCGTGCTAAGATGAGAGAGCTTCCAGAAGAAGAAAAATTGAAGATCAAAGAACAAGTACAAGAATTTGTAAAAGAGAAGCAGCTTCTTGATATTGAGGTTTCCAAATGGGACGAATCATCCAATGATATTATCGTACTTGCTAAACAAATGTGCATGATTATGATGCAGATGACTGACTTCACTCGTGGAAAAGGTCAATTGAAAAATTCGACTGATGTCATCGCCGCAGCCACGAATATTGCTGATGCAGGAAGCAGGTTGGATGAGCTTGCCAGATCCATCGCGGATGTCTGTCCCGATTCGTCTGCCAAGCGTGATTTGCTTGCTTATCTGCAGCGTATTACTTTATGTTGCCATCAGTTGAAAATGTGTTCCAAAGTCAAGGCTGAGGTGCAAAATATCGCTGGTGGTGAAACCGTTTTGTCTGGTTTGGATAGCGCAACCTCTCTTATTCAGGCAGCCAAGAATCTGATGAATGCTGTTGTATTGACAGTGAAGGCTTCTTATGTAGCATCAACCAAGTACAGAAAACATACTCAATCTGACTTGAAGATTGTCATGTGGAAAATGAAGGCACCTGAGAAGAAACCACTCATTCGAAATGAGAGAAAGAATGAAGTTAGAACAGCTCCTGTTCGCAGACAGTCTCAGAAAAAGCTCAATCCTGCGAAAGCACTCAGTGAGTTCAAGGCTGAACTCTGAAGAAGATGATGATAAACCCATGAGATAGCTGAATTTGATGTCACAAAATTTCTGTAAATTTTTATCAGTTATTAACAATTTTTATGTCTAGCTTATCAAGCTTTATCAAATGTTTTAGAATTGTGAATTGAATGTGTATTTGGTGCCTTAGACAACTTTTTTACCGTTAGCGCAAAACATGATGTATTTGATGCTTTTTGCACAAATTCGTTTGAAAATGATTGATGGTGCTTTTATTTTCAAATATAAATATTTCTTGGCTTAATCCGTTGAACTTGATTTTGTTGCAATCATAATTATCATCAATTTCAACCGAACCATAGACATTACAGCAAGTACTACGCATGTAATTTTAATGTAAGATATGTTTTCCAAACTACAAATTCATTTTTTTTAATTGGTTTAAATTTGCAATTTCTTTAATAAAGTGATCAAATGACCAAATGTTATCAATAAATGAAGTACATATATATTTCCAATAAATTTGCAAGTTATTTTTTTCTCAAAACATTGTTTGGAACTAACCATTGTAAAGTTATGACACCAGGAACATTGTGTACATTTTTTAACTGTAGTTTATTTTTTTTCCTGATATTGTATAGCATTGTTACAATATTCATATTATGGCTTACTTTTTCATATTATCAAATTTGGTGCTGACATGGTACAATTTTTGTGTTGTAGTTGTAGAAAAGAATGTGACACTTTTGAATTGTGTATGTACATATTTACTTATACAGTATAATAAACTGAAATGTACAAATACAAGGTGTTCGTTAAGTCCTAAAATTTTTCAAATTGTAACGGGAACTTATCGATGGTTTGTTGGCCCCTACAGCCATATAATAATTAAAGGAAAATAAAGTTTGTTTTACCTGGTTAAGATATATCGAAAACGGACTTTATGAACACCCTGTATATATGAAATTTTGATTTGATCATCCTTTTTTAATTAACGAAACCAGTACTACTGACCACTTTTTGTTAACATAACTATACTCGAAAGTCAAATATTTTCATAAACCGGAATTATAAGGAAAATCGATGTGATAATTTTGATCTTGCTGGGTTTTGAAAACTGACGAATATATTATGATGTTCGATTTCATTTTAATATCTAATCAATGTAATCATACTATCTTTTGCTCTTCCATAAAATAGAGGTACATTTTATCAAACATTGTATAAATATCCAGCATTGTTCAACTACTTTCTAGTGTGGGAATGTTCATATTACGACCATTTTTGATCTGACCAATTTTGAACTGTATAGTGTAGACATTCCACTGCCTTTTTGTATATATTGGATGATTTTATTTGTTGATCATGTTACCCAACAGATATAAATGATAATTATGTGAATTTTATTGTTTTTTTTTATAAGGAATAGTGCTTGTATTTTTTTTTGTTAGGTCATAGGTAATTTGGCGTTATTGTTGGTCTTAGTGCTCGCATATTGATATGCTTTTTAGAGATAAAAAAAGGTTTAAGGTAACTCTGTTTCATTTTATATATGTGAAATGGCCATGGGATTGAGTTTTTTCAGTCTGTCCTTCTGTTATTTTACTCCCCTCATGTCAAAAAAGCACTTGCTGCCAATCTTCTCTACACTGATATGATAATTTGTATAATCCAACCGAGGCTATCAAGTTTTCTAGCTAGGTATTGAATTAAGAGGGTTGATGTTCCCATGAATTGAGAAGTTTTCTGTTTTAGAATATATGGTGATCTTAGGTACTAAATCATGTATGTGAACTGACTTTTGCTTTTATAACCCAATGCTTTTATGTGTGCTCTTATAATTACTGTATATATTGTATTGTAGATTGTGCATAGGTAATATAACAAATATGAAACATGTCTGACAGCATAGAAGATGATGAAGATTTTATGTGTGATGATGATGTGGAATATGACTTGGTATGTAAATAAAATTGTTTGTCAGATCTAGAGCAGGGGCGTGCAACAGGCAGCCCGCTGGCCACAACCCGTCAAGCCATTTAGTGTTAGCCTTTTTTCCCATCAGGCATAAAATCCAAATCCGACAGCCTATGTTTGAAAAGGCGCTCACATGGATAAAAATACATAATGTTTTTTTGCTATTGTCGCTTTGTTAAATATTTCGCCATTTGGCCAGTACATTTAGTATTGTAAGGCTGAGTGATAACCGCCTTCTCTTTTCTCCCAAATTTTTTGTGTGGCCAAGCTAGATGCCTGGAGTTGGTTATATGGCCCTTGACAAAAAATGTTGCACACTCCTGACCTGACCTAGATAGTAGTGCTACCTCCAACTGAAGTCTGGTAGCGAAAGTAAAAACAGTGAAATCTAAGGCTTTTTTGATTTCAGAAAGTAGATTGGCCCATTTCATAGAATTAAGGTCCAGTTATTCCTTTTTTATCAGAGTGGTTAGTTACCAGAATAACTTTTGAAAAGCAAAAGTCTCATTGAGAAAATTCTAAAGACCTTCCACACTTCTTCATTCGCTTTGCTACTCTATGAAAGATCTAGTTTTGCTCTTACTTTGTTTCCATCAGTCAATTTATCTCCCGTTTTTATAATGAACAAGCATACAAACAGGAACAAAATAATATATACATTACAGTCAGCGAATTAAACAATCACTCAATTCACTTAAATAAATGTGGTCTTCGCAAATGATACCTAGTGAACTAGGACTTGAAACTGCTCTGTAGCCCTTCAGGAGAACCAAATGCTCAATGTAATAAAGAAACCCCGGTATAGGCCAAAAAAATTTACATATTAAAAATTAACACTGGATAACATTCAAGTTATATGTGAATGACCAAAACTAAAGCTTTTACTACCTGCTAAATGAATTTTATATATACATAAATATTGCTCATAAACTACATTAAAATGATTTTTATTTCAAATTAGTATCTATGTTTTTTATATCTCCACAGGAATACTCTGAAGACAGCAACTCTGAACCAGATGTAGATTTAGAAAATCAATATTATAATTCTAAAGCATTGAAAGAAGAAGATCCCAGACTTGCTTTGGAAAGTTTTCAAAGGGTACAATTTTTCATTATCAATAATCAGCCTTTTGAATTCAAAATGATCGATGTATATTTATCAGAATAGCCGTATTTTTCTGAATATTCTGAATTGATCCAGTCAAATACTGAGTATGTGTTTGGTTCCTAAATGACAAGAATCTGTCTGATCTGTCATAATTTTACATGCCCAGAATGAGGCAGCCATGTTACCAAAACCAGTCAGTGTATGCACATCTGGCAACTGTAATGTCTACCATACGAGAATAGAAAGTATATTTGTAAGCTCTTTTGCGTACATCGATTTCCAACCCTTTGGGGGGAGGCGTAACCCCAATGAAACATTACAGCGACTCGAGGAACCCTCGTGTATTTTAATTGTGACCCTATTTTCAATTGTCCGAATTGTATAAACGATAAATATATATATAAAAGCAAACCTAATACCTGTAAAACAAAATGATCTTTGAAGTGTAGCAAGCAAAAGTGGCAAACGTTACATGTATTTGATTGACAGGCACTAAATATTTCAGGTTTTGGATTTGGAAGAAGAGAAAGGAGAATGGGGATTCAAAGCTTTAAAACAAATGACAAAGATTAATTTCAAGTTAAATAACTATGGTGAAATGATGAAAACTTATAAAGAATTACTAACTTATATTAAGGTTTGTTGATCAGTAGTTATAAAGAAAATCTGTATTATTATTGTAATCTGAACATAGATTAACGTAAATACTGATATATTATTTTTTTAGAGTGCTGTGACAAGAAATTACTCAGAAAAATCAATAAATTCAATACTTGACTATATTTCTACATCAAAACAGATGGATTTGCTACAAAATTTTTATGAAACGACGCTTGATGCATTAAAAGGTAAGGACATGAGTTTTTATGTTTTGTTTTAGTATCGGTACTGGTTTCCGAACCAGATGATACATTGGTCTCAAATTGATATCATTTTGATAAAATTTTTTATGATCAAATCAAAATATGGTAACTCTGAATATGATTGTCTCTTTAATATACCGGTAATTTGAATGGGATTGCATTGGCTATTGAATTGTATCGATTAAAAACTTTGGTTTTTGTTTCAAAACTTTTTGCAGTGGGACTTGACTTGGCACTTGTAACTGACCTATACATTTTAAATGTGTTTTATGACAGATGTACATCATACTTATTGAATTTTGATTTAATGCTACTAATTAGCCTGTTGATGTTCCAAATTATCAACTCGTTTCCAGATGATAATACTTTTTGAAGGAATATTAACGAACAAATTTTTTAACATTATGTGAGACAATTACCGTATATGTAATAAATAATCCCGTTTTATTGATACATACCATATATATATGTATATCATTATAGTACTTCTAATCTTTAATTTTTGCTGATTCTACATTCAGGTTTTAATTGACCTACAATAACAGACCATTTACATATTTTATCTTTTCATTCTATAAATAAATTTCTAATTTTACTTTTTTGACGTATGCCATGGTTTTTGACATCCAAAATTTATTTTAACTCGAGTCAATAGTTGAAATTTTTAACAGCCTTGTCAAAATTTTTCTTAATCGGATTTATCTTGTATTTCAAATAGTGTTTTATTATGCTTTTTCAATATTATCTCGTAAATGGTAAGATGCAAATGAATCTTTGAATTCTTTTAACGCAGACGCTAAAAACGACAGACTATGGTTCAAAACAAACACGAAACTAGGAAAGTTATATTTTGATAGAGAAGAATTTTTAAAACTATCAAAAATATTAAGACAACTTCATCTATCTTGCATGGTAAGGAGTGAGTAATACTCTATTGTATTTATTCAAACTGAATTGAGTAATCAACCTACATGGTGTTCTGAATCCTTTTATAATCCTTTTATTCAGTATATATGCAAATGCTTGTGATTGTCTGTTTCACATTCAAATTATTCTATTCTTTCGAAAAAACAATTTTTAACAAAGACAATTGTAGTGGAAAACCCAATACTGTACTAGTCCAAATTCATATTTTAAAGTAGGTTAGGAATTCCATGTTTACCAAAAGGGAAAGGAAGGAGGACAAAATAACCTATCATATGGTGAATAGAGCCTTTTGTTCATTAATAGTCCATGTTAGGTATAGGAATAGTTAACCAGATATAAATTTCTGATGAATAAACTTGATCTTGGTGGAATGCGCAAATGACAAGCGGCTACATGAACCACTATGAGGGCGAGCAGTCCATGCCTTGTTTTAAATTATAGTTTTGTTTGATTGCCTAAAAATAATGTCCAATGATCCAATGTCAGTCAACTTCAAAACCTTAACTGAACACTCACATTGGTACAATTTATTTATTAAAACTCTGGCAAATTGATATTGTACCATCGGCAATCTTTGATTTGTTTAAACTTTAACATGTATTTTTATTACAACATGGTTATCGTACTAAAAACCTAAATGTAATTTATATTTCGAACTTTTGTAAAATATGAAAGTATTCTTCTTGATATTTCCTATCAGACACAGGATGGCGAAGATGACTTAAAGAAAGGTACTCAACTTTTGGAAGTTTATGCATTAGAAATTCAAATGTACACTGCTCAAAAAAACAATAAAAAATTGAAAAGACTTTATGAACAATCACTCCATATCAAATCAGCAATTCCTCATCCACTGATTATGGGAGTCATCCGAGGTAAGTATATGGAGGACTTCCTTCAATTTGAAATGACAGACATAATAACACTACATTTACTCAAGTCTAGTCCGTTTCAGATATGAAGGTTTTAAAATGATATTTTTTAGGGGAGGTTTTTTGGCTTGGATACAGAATTCGAAAATTTTTAGCTACCGGTATATCTCTGGCTGTTTGCTCCTGTGGTATCTGATCTGGTATCATCATATATTTTCTTACAATAGCATAAAAGATATTGCTAAGACTGTGTTACATATCATGGGCAAGAGGTCTATCATAGTAATAACACATTACATAATTTTATCTGAATACGATATATATTGTTCTATTTCTATCTACGTATTTAACATATACTCACAAAACATTGTTTGTTTGATTTATTGTTTTGGACTGTAATATTTCTATTATGATTGCTTTCATATTTTTCATTATTTCAACATAATAATTCTTTTCACTTTATATTTTCAGAATGTGGAGGGAAGATGCATCTCCGAGAAGGAGAATATGATAAAGCGCACACTGATTTCTTTGAAGCATTCAAAGTGAGAAAGATTTTTTGAATAACACGTTTTTATTTTTCTGAAAAACTAAGAACCCCTTGTTTCTATATCTCAAATTTTATTACTAATTGGCAACTTACACTGAGGTCCTTTATCTGATCTTTCAAAAGCTTTGAATCCAAATTTGCCAATCAAGTTCGATCACCATGGCTATCCACATTGGTACCCTTCCCTTGTAGATGCAAAAGTCCTGCCCGGAGATTTCTTTGCCAATGAATTATTGGATAAGTGTGACCAAGGCGATCAAGCACTATGCACTAGAACTAGAAAAAAAATAGCGATGTCAGCCATCTTTTGGCACTGAAAATGGAAATCCTATTTTGGTTTTTAGATATTTTTTCAACAACGAGAATATAGCAGAACAATTCAAAGGTCCACTCAGTGTCCAATTCATTGTTTTATACCATGAAATATAAAAATACATGAAATCGAATCTTATTACTTTTTTACAGAATTACGATGAATCAGGAAGTCCGAGGCGGACCACTTGTTTAAAATATCTTGTTCTTGCAAATATGTTGATGAAATCAGGAATTAATCCGTTCGATTCTCAAGAAGCAAAACCATATAAAAACGATCCTGATATTCTGGCAATGACTAATTTAGTCACGTGAGTATGGATATTTTTTTGGATTAAATATATTCTGAGAATTGGTTTTGAACAAGGGATTCATGTTTCATTATGTCGTGCAATGTATAATGTACACTTTGACACCCAGTTGTGAGTTCTAACACCATAAATAAATATAATTTATATATGTAACAACTAACAAACGTATGGCATTATATCGATTGTCAAATTATGATTCTGTTTTTATGTTAGAAATGGGTTATAATAAAGCTTTTTATTTCACAAAAACCATCCTACATTTAAGAACACTGCCTCGGAATCCCCGATAATTATTTTAATAAGACTATTTCAACTGAATTTTTTTATACTATTAATGAAAACTTGGTTTTCAAAAGTTTCACTTCCACCTCTATTGACGATTTTGTAAAATTTTTTGGTATTATACCCGATTATTGTAAATGTCACTTATCACCCTAATAATAAATTCCACAGACAGATAGTAGTCTGCTGGTTTTTCAAGTTGTTTGTTGTGTTTGGTGCAGAACTTCAAAGTCAAGAGTTTGGCAAAATTTTGTCGATATTGAAATCATGTTATCACCATAGTTGGTAGTCGAGAATTTGAATTTTGTTTTTTGTGTTCGAAATTTGGTGTTCTGACCGAATCGGGAGCAAGAGGACGAGTCTTGATTTACTTCCAATGTGAAGTTGGTAGCTTGAATTCTAAAAGAATAATTCTCATCAACCAAGAGTCTAGATTCGTTGTATTTCAACCTTCTTGGTAAAACGGAACCGCAATGTTACATTACAGACACTTGAGGAACCCTTGTACAATAAAATAATTTGATTCTGCTTCATTGTCTGAATTGCATAAACTATGAGTATACACAAAAGCAAACCTAATAATGGCGAAACAAAATAATGACAAAGTGTAGAAAATTGAATATAATAATTGTGGCAAATTAATATTTAATTATAGTTAAACAATATACTTATATATTGATATAGACTCTCGAATTTGAATGAAAACTTACGGAATCCCTGGAGTTCCGCGGAACCCCGGTTGAAAACCACTAGGCTAAATCTGGGATCATTATTTTAAATGACTGATTTTGTAGTTTTGTGTGAATTTTTCCCAATGCACAAGCCTGTTTTGATAAATTCGTCTATTGATCATTTTTCACATGTATCAATCAAATTCTTATTTTTTAGTGCATATCAAAACAACGATATTACTGAATTTGAAAAAATTGTAGCAGCAAATCGAGCAAGTATCATGGATGATCCTTTCATCAAAGAACACATCGAAGATTTATTACGAAATATTCGAACTCAAGTTCTATGCAAACTCATACGACCTTATACTCGTATTCAGATACCTTTTATATCACAGGTAATGTTTCTATTGACAACCGAAAAATTATCAATTTTGGTACTCTCGTAGTGTGTGTACCTGGTTAATAAGGTTAGGCCATAATTTTATTCCGATTCCCCTTTTTTTAGTTCTATTACGAGTTCGTGGACTGTCTGTGTTAGCCAAGTGAATATATGCCCTGCCCATAGGTTTCAGTCCCTTTAAACTTCATGTAAAGTAGGCGAAGAAAATTAGTTAGTTAACCTCCATATTGGTACACACACTTCTGGAACGCCCGAATTTTTAAGAGATTGTATCAATGATTTTTTAGATGTCACCAACGATGTCCAAAATCTTTAGGATATGATTTTTTCACAAACACTAGGGAATGGAAAACATAAGTTGGACTAACCATATCAAAAACAGCGGACTATAATAAACGTTTAACAGTTTGGTGTGAAGTGCTGTATTGACTTTCTCCAAATTTCAAAATAAATACTAATGGCCAAGTTCGATATTCAGAAATTAGTCTGAGAAAAAAATGTTCTGTTCTTTCAGGAACTTAAAATTCGACCAGAAGAAGTTGAAAGTTTGTTAGTCAGCTGTATTCTTGATGGGTAAGTGTATTATTATTTATTGTAGGCTTAATTGTTTCTGTGGTCTATTGTACTAGCTTATTAACAGCAACTTCTTCTTCCTCTAAATTTTGAGACCAATAGTTATGATGACAGATCTGCCTATGACGGGCACAGGACAAGGCGTGCTCTGAGTCCCTTTTTCCCTCAAAAATCGATTGTGGGCCTTATAAGCCAGTGCACCTAATGTATGGTTCAGGTAGTGCTCTATTGCCTACACCTAAAGCCGGTACGTGTGGGGTTTGTTTTGTACGGCAACTCGATACTCCATAAAAACCATTGTGTCTTTTAGTCCGGTGTTCGTTAGGTATGGACAAAACCCCAATTTAGGCAAGTTGTTGACAGTGTGCCTTATATGATCTGATCTGTATATAACATGGTATATATATATATATACCGGTGTATATTTGGTTAAAAGTTGTCTGCTAGAAAATATTTGACTTTGCTCAGATAAAATGACACAGAATAAAATTGAGAAAGTTTGATGCGGTTATTCCAAACCTCACTGCACTACTCTCTAGGGGTAATTTCTAATGTAATTAAGGATAGATAAATTTTTTTTGAGAATCCTGTGGAATCTAATAATATTACATTTTATTTGTTTGAAGTAGCCAATCATTCAGTCTTTATGTTCAGTCTTTTACGTTGAAAATCCATGATGAATTTAATATACATAGATGGAAGTCGTTTTCCTGAGTAGGATCTTTTAATCAGATAAAATTCGTTTCTTTCAAGTGTGATTGAATTTAAAATTAAGGTGATCATGGTCATAATTTAGAAATAGGTATGTATTGCCATGTCTTACCAATAAATTAAGATATGACACAAGAGTGCTTATTTCTTCAATTTCTTTCACGAAAATATGTATCCAACTGTACTTCTTTCTGATATTAGTTTCGAAGTTGGTTGCAAAAAATAAACCTCGCAAAGAGTATTGGTCCAGCTGACTATATGTTGAAGGATAATTACATGGAAATGTTATTTTGTTTTAGAACAATCAAAGGTCGTATCAATCAGATTGAACAGGTTTTGGTGATTGATGAACATCGCACAACCAGAGGGGAAGCGAGGTACAACGCACTTGATCAATGGACTCGACAATTAGGTTCTTTACATGAAATAATCATAAACAAATTGAGTTAAAAATTTATTTAAAAAGATTGGTTAATTTTACATCTTCAATTTCACTGGACTGTGCATCGGTGATGTTTCTCCAACTATGACGCAGGGTTGCGTGGATGACACACAGCTTGATTAAACAATCCATTGTGACTATTATCTGGTATGGCTATCGATTGAATAACTGTTATCACACTTGTGATGTTTGGCCATCTGCTTATTATGGCAATCTTGAGATGGCTATGCGGTTATGAGTAGGCTTTGATGCCTTGTGTAACCAACAAGATTTCAGGTTGAAAAACATGTAGCAAATCATTTGGGAGGAGGAAAATAAGGATCTTAGCATTCCTGCATAGGAGTGTCCATGACGCTGTTAAAATTTAAAGTTAATTTATTTACTGTGGTAAACAAAACAGTTCAGTAATGTTGTTGTTCCATGCATTACCATTTTTGATGCCATGTGTTAAGTTCAACCCTAGACAGTTACAGGCACTTTACGATATTGTTATGTATGGTAATAAATTTTGCTATTTCGAACATGTCTTATACCATGTATGGGAAGTAGGACAAGGCCAAGGCTGTATGGTTATTAAATGTAAGTTGTTAAGAAATTGCTTGCTGATTATGACAAAGCATTATATGAACTCAGGATCATACCAAGATGAGTTGTGGTGGTTGAGTTGTCTTCATGGCTATCTAATCACCAGGTTAATAATAGATATGGGAATTGTATCTCAATGCTCACTAAAGCCTTTTTGATACAGGGTTCATCCAGATTTCTTATGTCTCTTGTGGACTGTCAACATTTTCGAGTCACATGAAGCCAATTTCTGGTATACATTCTTGATTATACCTTTTACAATCATGTTTCATTAACAGCTATAATACATTCATGAGGGAGGGTAATTCCAAGGCATCGCATATGTGTTGAAACTGCTGACACTTCATTACAGAATTTTAAATATTGTTATCTGTTCGGATAAAATCTGAGGACCAAATTCATGCACACTGCCTTCTGTCATTGTTAAGGAGACTGGATTCAGAGTCATTTAAATGAAATGACTGCGCAAACAAACTATCAGAGAAACTTGGAAACTCCTGAACCTTGGGCGAGCCTTTTTTGGCATAGCGAAAAAGATGCTAGTTAAATGTGATTTGCCAAGTAGACTAATATGTTATTGAAAATATTCGCTAGCTTGTTGCAGGCATAACTCAAAATAAGCTGTTGATGCCATGGTAAATAGTTTCAATAATAATTGAATCAGTCTGATTTTCAAAATGTTGATAGAAATACAAAAACCATAACTTTCATGAAATCTATTAGCAGTTAGCACCTGACCTGCAGCTCTTAATTTTGGACAGCCTGTGAACAGGTTTGCTAAGACCCTTGGGTACTCCTATAGTGGGTGCACCAGGTTGAGCCATAATTTTATTCAGATTTTCCTTATTTTAGTTCTATAAAAAGGGGTCTGTAGAATAGGCGAACAAAATTATAGTGTACAGCACTGGGATGTAAATACCCTGTGACCTACCAATCAACCAGAATAACAAAAATATTTGTAGAGAAGTTTGTATTTCAATCAGGACAAATAAGTACACAAGAAATATCGCGGCAAAAGGTCAATCAATTGAAAATAAATTGAACACACAAAGTCATAGTGGAATGGAAGCTGCAAATGTACATCCTACGCAAGGAATCATCTTCTTTTTTTGCCCAAAATGCAAACACATAGTAAGTTTGAAAGATTGTCTCACTCTATTTAACCAGACACAATCACCACTGACATGTCTAAATCGGCTTCAAAGACTGAATGAAAAAATATATCAAGGCTATATCAAGAGTTTCCCACCTCATTAGGAGTTAAATTGGTCTTCGAATAAAATGTATGCGGTAGCTAATTACCAAAGGACTACCTGAGATTGCATAGAGTTTAGTTTAGTCCCATACACAGAATGAGATTCACAACAAAATGTAAATTTATAAACAAATTGTAATTACAAAATTTAGAGATCAGTCGTCTTTTTGCATTGGCCGAATAGGGGAGATATGATGGGGCATGAAATATGTGTGAAAGCTTGTTACGATTGTTAGATTCACTTCACTGTTAGTGCAAATAAATTATACACTCGCACTTCGGTTGCAGAAAACAATTATGAATTGACCCAAATATTGCATATAACCACACCATAAGCTGGTAGAAAGAACCCACCGGAAATCAAATTTGACGATAATTATTTTTAAATTATAGAGCTAGAGACAGATTTCTCAGATTAATAGAATTTATGCCAATAAATTCTAAATTTTGAAAAATTCTATTCCGAACAAAATTATACAAAATGCAGTCTTTATTTAGAAGGAAAATATTACGACCCATTTTCGAAAATAATTATTACTGACATATGTATGAATTTATCCGACAATACCGGAGGCTAAAATTATCTTGAGCTACCTATAATGAAATAATAATCTATTTTTGGCCTCATTTGCTGACCAAAAGACATTGGGGGATATTTTCAGATCAAGAAAGTTACGAATATTCAAAACCTGTTTAAACATCCTTCTGCCATCATAATTGTGTAACAGTATGCAGGCTAGCTTTATTAATCATTGTAGTCTGAAAAATCCGTTAACTGTTTACCTTCTATAAACGATATTGATTTAAATTATAAACAATTCAAGTACAAAGCGTACTTACTGCTGTTAGCCACTACCAACATAAATTAATAATGCTGAAAATGTTGCTGTAGATGTCAAAAATAAATTATTCTTAGATTCACAATGCAGAGCAATTTTGGTTCATTTGAAAAATAGGGCTCATTCGCGGAGATTTCGAGATCGTTCAAAATCACTTTATATCGTTTCATATTGCTCATTATTTGATGGACAATGACGTCTCCTTCATAGGGATTCTCTCTATTCATATCGTTATACAAAGAGTTGCCAGTTGCAAGTCATCCTTCTTTGTTCCACACATGCATGATTGCACAAACTATAGTTTATCTCCGATTCTATTCCAACGAAGAACCAAAACTTTTTGACAAATCCTATCCTGTCATATTTTTAAATGACATCTTGATATCTTTCATCATCACAAAACTTCATAAACTGTAGCTTTCTTATCCCCTGAACCAGTGACAATAAACCGATCATCGATAGAAACGTCACAACTGAGAACTGATGATGATTCTTTATACTGTAATAAGAAAACAGTCAATTTAGTTTTTTTACAAGAATCTGCACAAATCAAGTTTGCGCTCACACACTCATACAAAAGCAGACTAGTCTCTGAACAAAGTTACAAACGACAACAACTGAACTGTCCAGCACTACTGAAACCATAAAGAACTATGGTGGTACATTGTGCGGCAGAAAAAGCTAATGAATGTTTTTCTGAGCATCGAATTTAATATTTATTGCTGTAACATCGTCTATTCAGCAATGCAAAGGTAAGGTAACGATTGCATTTGATAAGCTACTACAGATTTCAAGCATGGTTATGAATATTAGTTCATTATCGTGATTTTCATTCTCGTTTTTCGTGAAACATTCATTGGTGAGAGATCTAAAGGAGTTCAATGTAATATGATGGATTTAGGCTTATATTATTGATCGATCGAACACTATTATATTTCAGAACAGCAAGAATTCCCTTGTGTTCGTCACACGTAGGTGTGTGAAATTTCAGAGAAATGGCATACTTTTGTAGAATACAATAGCAAAGGGGAGAGAGAGCCTTTCATATATATTAAAAATAACAAATGTCAAATAAATATCAATTTATAGTCAAAACCTTTGTTGCTCATTGAAAAGTAGTGCGATTATCCAATCATAAAATGAGGTTCTTTTCAATAGATTACCAATGATTTATTTGATAATGTGTAAACAAAATGTTTGCTAACTTCAAATTAACTACCTTTTTATAGGATGCCTTACTTACAAGGGCCTGCATGTGCAACCCCTTTGACATAGGCAGCAGATAAATCAAATTTCTTTTAGCCATGCCTCCCAACTTTTCACATATAGGATGGCATACATGGCTTGGACTTTTCACATATAGGATGGCATACATGGCTTGGACTCTTCACATATAGGATGGCATACATGGCTTGGACTCTTCACATCTAGGATGGCATACATGGCTTGGACTCTTCACATATAAGATGGCATACATGGCTTGGACTCTTCACATATAAGATGGCATACATGGCTTGGGCTCAACGACAGGTTGTTGGTGAAGTTCCCAAACCCAATAATCTAAGACTATGTTATCAAAGTAGTCAAGCTCAGTTTCAAGGGAGAAAACAACTAGCAATCACATTGAAGCATATAAAATTACTTGTACATACCTGAAACAAGCTAGCACCATAAGGAGTTCTCCAAGCATTCAGCATATTGTCCTTTCCTGTACTTACGAACCATTTGCCGGAATGTGCAAATTTCAACGACAACACACAACTCTCATGTAAATGAAGTTGGTATCGATCTGGTTTTGTATCATGTAAAACTTCAACAGTACTGCTTTCCATCCTGGTATAAAATATAATAATATTTAATATAAATCAATCAATTAAAATTTGTTATTTCTCTCTAAGTTAATAAGGGAATTTCAATCACACAATCCAAGATATGACAGAATTTTATTATCACCTCAATTTTCTTATATCACTATGTATAATAAAAATCAAATTTGCATTCAAGAAATTCAATAGGTAACAGTTGTATTATACAATATAATTGAAAGAGTTAAAACAAGTAACATCATAGAATTACACTATAGAAATAACAATTTCTGCGATACCATTTTTCAATGGCTCAAGTAACGAATACATCTTTTATGACAATAAAGTACCGGTAATGTTGTTTTGATTCTTGAAAAATTCCTTCTTACCCGACAGCCAACCAATCTCCCGCAGGACAATATCCAAGTGAAAAAATTTGAGAATTAAAGTTGTGTTTTTTCAGTTGTTTTCCTGCCGTGAGATCCCATGATCGTACAGTGTTATCCAAACCCCCAGTCCACAGTTTTGTACCATCTGGTGATATATCAATGCAAGATGCACCGTCTGTGTGCCCTTGGAATTGTCTGTCAAAAATACGAAATAAATGAGATTTAATGAATTTAAATTCATACAAAATTTATTTATTTAGGCTTCACTATGAATGTAGCATACAGATGATGTAGAATTTAGTCCAAATGAAACATCTTGGCTCGGCGGTCAGTTCATTGTACTATGAGTATTGAGCATTATGCTACTCTTGCCATTGCAACTTTGATTACTCTGTGTGTGTTCCTGTGGGGTATAATTGTGAGTGAGTGAACTGCTGGACTCCTCACTGACACAGGATGCTTCCTAAAGCCATTGTATACTCACTTTATTAATTTTTGATTATGAAGATCCCACACAGCAATATTACCATCACTGCAACAACTGAAACATATTTTCGAGTCAGGACTGATAGCCAATGCATAACATGCCGGTGCGTCACATACCAACTTTCCCTGAAAAATGATAATAGAGTTTATGAATCTCTTGAAACTTTCTTTATTTTCAGTTTGAGCCCCGGTGGTATGACTACATGATCGCTAGTTTAGTAATTCAATTAGAAACCTGGAATTTGATGAAGTCTTTTATCAAAATTTGATTTCCTCATAATAGTTCACAGCTAGAGTCTAAAATCGACATTTGTTACAACCCAAAGTATGAGTCCGAGTTAAAAAAAATTTTAACTAAGTTTCGTGCCAATTTTTTTTATATCCAGATTTAGGGTTGGAGTCAAGTGTAAATTTTCACTTACTTCACAGCCCTGACGTACTATTATTTTATTAGGCTCAATGCTTTCTGTACAGTCCGGCTTAGCATCTCCATGATTACCCCTCACCCCTTTTTGGACGACTATATAAAATCAATACTGAGATACGGTTCAATTCTGAATCAACATATTAAGAGCATGGCTATGCAATGATTTCCATGTTATTGTTTGCACCAAAAATATAACTGTTTGCTTACTTTTATACATGGTTTAGCTGCAGCAAGATCCCATATCGATAAAGTACTTGCTTCTCCGCCAACTAATAAAGTTCGACCATCTGGTAATATTTTACATGATCTTATATAATTATCTCGCTGCAGACAATCTAATTGAGATATTGGTGTCTGCTTCACGACAGGAGAATTAGGACCATTGCCGGGAGGCTGAAAACAAAAATACAAAAAATTAATTCTGAAATTAAATACAGTGATACCAGGTAGGTCAGCTTTCAGTAAAGTAGACGAAGAATACAGAAAAGTCACAGATGTGCCCCTTTAATACCTGAGAAATTTTACAGTGATACCGCGATATTCGAACGACTCGGTACTCTGAAATTATGGTAGTACACCTAAAAATTTCAGTCAAAAAATTTGCGGTACTCTAACGGAAATTCGGTGCTTGGTGACGTTACCCGAACTGGGCATCCTAATCGCCTTTTGACCATTCAACAAGAGAACGATGCTCAAATATATAACAAGAAGTAGTACTGGTATGTAATCCGTCATAGTATACTACTGCCTACTGGTATGGCAATCTACACGACTAATGCGAAAGCGGAGCCGACTCAAGGTGCGCAATTTATATCACATGATCGCACACAAAAAAAACGAATTCCATAGAACCCACAGAAATTTGCTCAACATACAGTCTTTCTAAGACTATAAATAATCCTAGTACAGAACTATGCCTACTATTATGAATTATGCGAAAAACCAACAAGAAGCATTTCAGGTCAATACGAACAGGAAAACAGCGAATGAATTCCCCATACGGTAACTACTGTGTATTGTAAAATGTTCTGAAGATCCCTAAAACCAATAATGGATCATCATATCAATGTAGCATCCTCACAAAAATGACAAAAACAAAATGAAAAAATTCCAACAACTTACTGCATTCATATCCCATATCTTTACACATCCTTTTCCTCCTGTGTATACATGACGTGTAGGATTGCTTATTGTGACAGCACATACAACTTCACCATGATTGAGGGTAAGAGCTTGACGTGCGTGACGTGGTATACCAGGACCAAGAAGTGCATCAGGAGGAAATTGTACTTGTTGAGGTGTTTGGCCCTCGTCACTTATGTGAAATGAACATCCCCTGAAAAAATAATAAGCTTATGTCATCTACGCACATTCAATTTTAAAAAACTGAATGAATACCATACGTACCATTGTAGAATAACATGCCAAATACAACAGCGCTGCGGAAATACTAATCCAGATGTATGGTACGTATAAATGACATGCAAATAGTTTGCTAATTAATTTTGGATGAATACAAGTTCTTTTAGGGCTGTACAATGCTCATGTTAACCACACTAGCACTTCCTTTATACAGCATTCCTTTATACATAAGACTGAATAGTTCTTCACCTTAGTCACTTAGTGAGACAAGGAATGTCTGCTCCCCCCTCTAAGTTCAATTAGCATCTTGAAATATTTAGACTGGTAGCCAGGATTCTATTTCCTGGTGATCACTTCAAAATAACTAATAAAGACTTATTTTTCTATTTGGTATATCCAATTTACAAAAGGAAAGACACTTTGATTCAAGATGATCTACTTTTGATTCTAAACATTATCTTTTAACTCACGGTTTTCCGGCCATATGTGGAGGCATTCCTGGTGGTAATCCCATTCTTAATTGTGCATGAGAATCAAACCTGACCATAGGAGGTGCCCTGAAATAAACAGAATATCATATGATAGTTTATTAAATATACAGTTTACTTAATTATGATTATGAATCAAGATAGCAATGCTAAAAGACATAGACACAAAAGTAATGTATCGGTACGGGCGTACGGCCTAGATTACTCAAATATTTAAAGGTGGGCAAACAATACATTAAATAGGGTTCCTTTTAATAAAAATTATACAGCTATAAGTATAAGTTTATTTCGACTCCATAATCAGCGTAACAATACATTTGACAGATAAAAACAAATAAATAAAAACTGATTTTGAAATCAGGGGAGCAAACAAAACCTTAGATAAGGTTTATAACGTACAAAATATAAGATGGAAGGTTTTGCCAAGAGGAAGTGGTACGTGTTTACTCACCTAAAGAAAAAAGCTAAGCTAAAGAAAAGCTAAAAACCTAAAGAGAAAAGCTAAGAAAACAACAAAGAGCAGTTTTATTGAAATATCGATTCCATAAGACTTGAGCAAATTTGAAAAAATAAAATAAAGGTAATAGCATTCAAATTGGTTAGTTGGGAATGATCCCCCATAAATTGCTGAAAAGTGACTCTTTCCCAAACAACATCAATGACCCCAACAACAACAAGATTTTGGCAAAATGATCCATATGAAAACTCCGTGTGCACAAATGACAAGTCCATTTTTCTGGAGTAAAATTATTAAATACATCTCGACAACCCACATCACAATTCATACTAACAACAAAACAATTAATGCGGAACTACTCGTAAAAAATTGAATCAACTTACCCATAATGTGCTGCTGCAATAGCAGGATTAACACCGTGTGGCATTCTGTGCATATTTTCATAAAAGGCATGATGAGCTGGAGGCATGTTAGGAGGAAATCCTGGAGCACCGGGATACGCCATTGATGCAGATGTTCGAACTAAAAGTATTAGAATAAATCGTGCACTATGATTGGGACATGCATTCAAATTACAAATAGATAGTTTTAATACCACATAAGTGAAATTTTACAGCATTCAAACAGACTTTCTTTTAATATATCTAATGCACTTCTGTGAAGTAATGCAAAACAAATGCAATCTAATAATGAGTGTTTTATTGAGCTTTTTTCTGTAGACGACAACTTGCTATTTTTTAAGCGAATTCGCGAATCAATTTTTATTGAGTAAAATTTACCATATATTGTGAGTTTAAAACAAAAAAGTTTGTTAAGTAATTAATTACAAAGCTGAATAGAACACCAAATCATTAAGTTAATTAAGTGCTTCCATCAATGTGGCTTAACTCGTATCATCATTATGGAGGTATAAATAAACTGTGAAGCAGAGTGGTCTTAATCTGCAAGCGACTTTTATGTAAACATGTTGTCAACATAATAACATGTACTAGTTTCAATATTGACATACAGCGAATCTTAAAATGTATCTGGATTAACAAGTTTAAACATACAAAACAGACCAACACTATCATCTTAAACATTCCGTAACAGAATTCTTAAGTCGGTCATTAGTAAAACGACTACCGTAAGTATTTATGGCTATAGCACATAGAGCACACAGCATAAATGTTATGCTATATTTGGAATGAATAACAAAATATTGAAACAAAACTGCAATTGAAGGTTATAAACAGGGCTGAGGAATTTGCGGTTTTAGAGCCAACGACAAAATTGTGAATTTGTGGCAATTGGGGTCTGAAATTTAAACTTAAAAATTAACAGTAAAGATTCCCAACTGCAATTACAAAACTTAAAAAACATCAAAATTTTCATAAACAAAATTTAATTAGCCCAGCAGCCGTGGGCGATGAAAATTATCATAATTACAGAATTACACTTGTATTGAACAATTATATTAGTCATTATTTATCCAAATGCTTGCAGTATGTTATTTATAAAAATTCAACAAATTTCAATAAGTAACTGAATTTCATGTCAGAGTATACATTAGCAATAATATTATTGTGCAGACAACTCATGCTTTTATATCTCTTATAAACTACCTACCCATTCCTTCTGGTAACGATCTCTCTGGATGAGGGGCGTGTGGTAACCGTTGTGGAATGTTGGGACTTCCATTATGAAGGCTTGATGGTCGAGGTTGAGGGCTGACTGGTTTAGAGGAAGGATTTGAATGTTCATGATGAAGGCCAGGATCGGATTTTGGTCTAAACGACAAAATAATAAAAATAACATTCATACATCCAAAGATTATTAAATGCATGGTCAGTCACTCAACAAAAATCACTTCCCTAATTCCTAAATTGATCATTTTATTAATCGAATACTAGTCCTGTTTGCCTATTATTTTTCCTTTACATAAACAGGATGTTTATAAAGCCACAATACAATTTGGAAATTTTGTTATGAAGTTGGTTAGTTCCAGTGGTGGGTTCAAATTTTTTGTCAGCCGGTTTCTTCACAAAAGTCATATTTGTCAGCCAGCCAGAACATTGACAGTAACCAGTAATGCTAACCGGTTCGCTGATCTCATAAAATTCTGTGAGACGGTTCTATAGAACCGGTGCGAACCGACTGAATCTCACCACTGGTTAGTTCTCAATGTAGATTAACCGGTTTGTTTTATTCTAATCATTGTTCATTTGAGTTTTTGATTGACATGTTCATATACCCACAATTAGTTTCAAGAAAGTTCTCTCACCTAATTTATTATAGGATTTTATGAACACCCTGTATAATAGAAAATAAACAGTACTCAAAAAAGCTTTTAGTGATATTTTATCAAAAATATTTAGTCCTAAACATTCGTAGTATACACTTCCTGTCTTAATAGGGTGGTATATCCCATATGGTTTACCTTAAGCCAATGGTCAGCCTAACAATTCTAGTTATGTTTGAGAATAAATAACTGCCGCAGTATTCAGACTACCATATAATTATGCAACATGGTTTGTGGCAGGCAGAAGCCATAAATGGCCAGTAGTTACATGGACCACCCTACAATCACAAAATATCTGCAAATCTCTTGCATGATATCAAAATTAGTAAGATAATCCTTAAAAAACATGTCTCTTTAGGGGAATATCCCAGGAAAGCTAAACTTAAAAAATCATATACCAATATGTTAATAGCTGTTTGTAAGATCTAGGAAAAAAAGTTTTACAGAAACTTTTGAATATGAACACTAAAAATTCGCTTTCCGTGTGTAGAATGTGACAGGGATTACCTCTAACATCAGAAAGAAATTATTTAGTTTTATTTTTTAGTAACTAAGGTAAAACGTAAACTCACTGTGGATTATGACGAGATGTGCCAGATGCTGATGAAGCAACAGAAGCCGGGCTTCCAACTTGACCATTTTGCTCTTGCTTTTTACTATATCCTGCAGGTGGACGAGATGATGATAATGCTGAATTTCCATCTCCAGGATTACTTCCAACACCATTTGGTCCATCTAAATATCCATTTTCCCTTGGTGATTGACCATCAACATTTATGTGAAGAGGAGTAGTAGGCTCCTAAAAAGAATAAAAATGATATTAATAGGACAAATTCTGGTCGCCCGAAGTACGCGCCCCCAAGTGCTTCTAGTGGGCGTAGCATAAAGATTTTTGTGTATAATATTTCTAACCCCCACCTGACTACGACATCAAAAAATTACGCCACGACGACGTCACAATCACATCAGATCGTCCGGAAGGGCATCTGTGCCGATTATAATGAACTCACTAACGGCAGCGATCTCTCTTCATCGCTATCATTATGACAAGAAAAAGAAAGAAACAGCTGGTCGTCTGCACGTTTCAGACGACAACCCGCATACTTTAGAGGGCATTATTACATCACTGTGACGTAATTTTCGAATGACGTCAGGTGGGGGTTAGGATTCTAGGAATGACATATGCAAAATTTGTAGAGTCAGGCCAACTAGAAGTACTTGTGGGCGCATACTTCAGGAGACCCTGAAATTTTTGAGATAATATCTATCCTCTTTTTAACGTATTAAAATCTGAAGTTACAAACTTTAGTTAAACTGGTACTTTTCGACAATAAACACAGCACTGCTGTGGCCTAGTGTTTAAAGCATTAGACTTAACTATGATGATTGATGACAATACAGGTCGAAATCCCATGCTCACCACATCACCCAGGGTGGTAAAAATTAGGTAATTAATGCCGAATCAGAAAGATTCCAGCAAATACATTAAATACAATTATAATTCTGTTACAGCTCATTTAATTGTTATTTAATACTACCATTGTACGTACAGCTATATTGTATACAATAATACAGCTAATTTATATGGATTATTTTCGTTTGATGACAACAGTAACACTATTTTTCATAAATAATTTTTCTAAATATCGAATTACTGTTAAACCATGTAAGCTGTCAGATATAGATCTTCGAGTTACCACATTACTCTAGTAACATTTCGGTATTGGCCTGTTTACCGGTTTTACATCATATCCGCGAGTACATCTACCTTTTAAGGGAATATGAGACCTGTGGTATATAGAGAATGGTTTTGTTTGATGCGGAAAGCACGAGTACTCAAACAACCGCAAACATGATATGTTTTCAATACAAACACACTAATAGACCACAGTGGTGTTCACTATGAAAATTAGATCCCGAAACTAAAAACAATTTTCTCTTGGAACTTCCATCAAATAATGAGCTAGTTTTGTCACATGGCTCTAAGTTTGTGGAAAAGTGAACACTCAACGCAATAATTGGATGATTGTTGCCGAAATACCTTAAGTAATGCCCATCATCAATCGTTGAGATGATTTTCAGTAGCCCACAAAAAAAACGAATAGAAAGCATACAGATCTGGCATGAGCAATAGATAAATCAAACATAAATGCCAAAATTATACAAGGCCCATATTATCCATAAGTGAGTTTAACAGAACTTTTAATAGTGTATGAAAATATTTGAGTGAACATAGTATAAACAAGAATTATGTTGGGCTAAAAACACTTGGCCTCTTAATTAATGGTCGATGGGATTTGGAGTGAGCTGCTAAAAGGATTAACACATCAATTGGTGGGTGGGGCGACCCGGATTTAGGAGAAAAATTTGCGGTAACTAACCGCGCTTTTTTTAAACGAGGCTTAGTACCCAAGGAGCACCATAGCATAAAACAATTATGACGCATCTCGAAATGAGCTCATTCTATGTGGGAAATTACAATTGAAAATACAGGGATAGTTGCGGCATTTAAATTCCATACAAGGTGGGGGAGTCGGATACACAGTTCCAACAGCATGGCTTGAGAAAAGTTCTTCCTCATCTACTGTACAAAATTCACTGTACATAGCTTGGCATGCACAAACTTGTCAACCTATTTATAACCAACATTTTGATGAGGATATTTAACCAACTGCCATTTAAAACTACTGTTAAAATAAATAGTTTTAGTTTCGTCTGTTGCAGCTTTTTCAGGACTAATATTTGATTACTGAAACTAAACTAAAACACCTCCGAAGACAAAATGACCACTGAGTTATTTGATTTATACTGAAATTCAGAAACATTACTGAAACTAAAAAATGGGGGTTTATCATCTTGTCTAAAAACCTGTCAGTTAAAAGTGTCTTAGCGATTACTAAAATTTCAGTTGTTGAGCCCCTGTTGATATCTTTTTTATTAGCCAATGCTACCTTAGCCAAAAAAGGAAGTCGATGTCCGTGGAGAGTCCATTGAATTTATATAAAATAACCCAGTTTCTTATTTACAACAAACACTTAAGGCAGGGGTTGGCAATCTTTTGTCGCTCATGGGCCAAAATTGAGGGGTTGCAAGTCTTGGTAGGCCGCACATATTTTCAGAAAGTTAAAAACGAACAGATGGCGCGATAAATCACAATTTTTTCACACAGATCATAAGTTGAAATTAAGTTAACTCAACTTAGTCGTCTTACTAAAGAAAAAAATATATAAATGACATTCAATGTGACACTTTTTGTTGCATCACGCTCAATAGCTTTTTGACACCAGGCTGACATGCCGGATGAAACCAAGATGTAAACATTTTTTTAATGGGCATCACTAATCCGAGTTATCATCTTGTTCTTTGTAATGTTCATTTTGGAAAATAATTGTTCGCACACATATGTACTTTCAAACATTGATGTGAATTTTTTCGCATGGTTTGTCAAATTTAGATGAAGTTTTCCTTCAATAAGATTTTTATAAAAATCAAGCAGTTATACATCTGTCGAATAGAATATGCATTACATTGAATATTTTAAGCGCCATTGAACCCGCTGCACTCAGCATCAACTTTTCTGAGTTTTTTTGCCATTTGTCCAATCAAAATTAAATTGTAAGCATATTAAACGAGTAGCTAACTGTTCACTAAATTGTTAGCTAATAATATAATTTAGACTACACGTGTCTCGCAATATATATATTCTGTTACGTGGAATATCGTAAGGATCTGTCCCGCGGCCGTAGGTTGCCGACCCCCGACTTAAGGCTATGCAGCCTACAATAATTCTTAGATGATGTGCATTGGCATTTCACACCGCGTTAAACCTTGGATGAACTTAAGAATTATGACATTTAGGCGATTGAAGACATAAACAAAATCGATAGAATAAGAATTTTTCGAAGTTACGGAGACAATCCAATTTCAAAAGCATTGCAAACCAATATTATGTGAAACGCTATTCAGTCAACTTTAAAAATAGCATGGTGCATATGGAATAGCACATACGTAGATGTAATAAGGACGCCTATTCCTCGTCATCGAGGCCAATAAATAAGACCTATATTTTGTATTGCTCATTTCGATTCGCCAATAATGCGGAAATAATCTGGCGCGGAAAATTGCAAACGGAGGGGAAATTTAGGAAATAATATCGTCATTGCCAACCGCTTTTGTGCCGATAAGACGAAGTGAACAAAAACAGGCCGATTTACTGGCGTTTCGCAGTAACTTAATATAAAACATTTGCCTCAATGTACAACGGACTACGTTTACTCCGAATACTATGTTATATAAAACAACAGTAATAACTCAGCGCAAAATGTGAGGCGAGCGTAATTGTATCACTTTTTTGGATTGTGACGTCATCTTGAAATAAGCCAAAATTGCAAAAGAATTGAAGTTACGGGTTATATGGGCCACTGAATGAGTAACCCATCAGTATCCGTATTAAAATTGTTGTTTTGATGATTGTAGAGCTATTTGAGCAAGGAGTTGATAACAACACCATTCGTAGGCTTACAAAAATCCCTGTTTTCAATCGCCTATAAAAAGAAATAACAAAATCATCTTTTGAGAAAGTGAGCTGCCGTCCCATTATAGGAATAGCGCTTGTCAACAGACCTAAAAAATTTCTTTCGCACAAGAAAAGAAACAATAACAACATTGAATTCACTACCATCTTCCATTCTTTATAATCCCCCAAAAAACACAATAAGCATGACACATGCATGATCTGATATATATTAGAAATAAGCCAACGGGGATTAACCCATTGGAATGTTAATACACACGTCGCGCAAGGGGTCAAGTGCCACCCATGTACTCCGTCATTCAGTGCGGTATTTTGCGGTAAATCGGGCGTGTAATTGACTCCGAATTGACTGAATTTTATTCCTATATTTTCAACTAGGGAGTTGCGTTGCCTCATTATTATGGAAATCAAATTGACATTATTGGAAAATACTCGGGAGAAATGAAAAGCGCAGCTAAAAGTTACTTATCAACGGCCTATAATTTCTATTGATGTTGGATAATATAATTTAGTACAAGTACTATAAGACGAATGTGGTCTTATTTCGAATAAACTAGATACAGAGAAAATACATTTTGTCGAGCAAAAGTAAGCCACTGATCTCGTCAGGGATTATTTTCTAGTCCCATCTCTGATTAAATCTAACATTTACTAATTCTGGTACAAATGATAAGAAGTATCAATTCTCATTGATTCCACCGATGAATAAGCACGTAAAACGTAGGAATTTAGTAGAGAAAGTAATACGCAAAATATTCGACAAGACAGTTATAATATGTCAAACGATTATTTAACACGACCACAATGCTCCAGATGACGTTTTTTTTCAGCACAAAAAATGGTAGGCGTGATTTGCTTGGCCTGCACTCAAGCACAGAAATAAGTTCATTAAATGGTTTTCCAAAATGAGTCGGGTTAAAATATTGTTGTTCTATTAATAAATCGATTCAAATGGTCCCTATATATAATATTGATGAAAGTCTAAACTTACGTAAGGTGCAGGTAGTCACCAAGCAAAAGCGCGTTGGCCAGTTTTGTATATTTGAGAATTAGATAAGAAATTTAATCGATTGCATTTTGTTTAAAGTTAAATTAAGCAACAACTATTTGCCGCACAAAATATTTTAATTAAAAAAAAATTATCAGTAGATAAGAGCTTAAGTTTACAAATAATCTATCCGTAACAAACAGATCGCACCTTCACTTGACAAGCAAAATAAAATGAAGCCCAAGTGTTATTGTGTTTAGACAAAAAGTTAGAAATGACAAGAATTGTTTACAAACCAAAACGATTGTTTAACTTTTGGATTGAAGAATAACAACACTGCTTAATAAACTATAGAATTTGAATTCACACAAACAAAAGTTAATGAAAGCAAAAGTGGTTTTTCACGTTTCCAGTAGCGGGAGTCACGGTTTGTTTTCACGCGAACAAAGTCGGTGCATCGTAAAATGACGTAACCATAGTTATTACCGTTACGCAGGACGTGAATTCAGTGCGTCCGGAAGTCAGGATCAGTCAACCACGCCTTTACTCTATTTCACCGCAATGCGAATTCCAGTTATCCATGAACAAGCGCGGGACACGAAAAAGGAACGAGATGTAAGAATGCTTTTCTATGGCTCAATCTTGACGAAATATTATGTACTCTATAAACATCACGGATACGTCTATTGAAAATATAATATTTGTCCAACATATTTCTCCCTGAAAATCACAAATCCGCACCTCAGTCAACAGAAGGTGGGTTTTATTCAAAGAAGAGATTTGAGTTATGAGGAGTACCCCAAGGGCTCCTCTCCAACAACAACTTATTCTTGACTATGATAGGCCCAGTCATTTTTCTTATCGCAATAGGTATATTTTGAATATGTGCGCATTATATGCCATTTTATAACATGTTGTTAGCTGTTCATCCGTTTTACCAATAGTTATTTTGTCACAATATTGACAGCGTAACAAATATGACATAGTTTAGTCTAGCGGAGAATATGAAGCTTGAATCAAGTTTAACAACAACAAAGGTCTGTTGCGGATTCATTGCTCAATAATAAGCTATTGTCGTTAAACAATGTTGTTTTACTGATCGTGGAGATATAGGCCTTTTGATTTCAATAGGCCAAACATAATTAATATTAAGTTAACATTTATTTGACGAATCTGCTGATATGAGAAATGTGTTCAAAAAAATTCAGCAAACATTTCCATCTATAGAATAAAAATAAATAAAACAAAGCACGGAAGGATAACTCAATGCGATGATACAATACAATATTAACAGTGACATGGAAGCATTCAAGCGCAGGTTGCAATAGTTAAAGTTACAAAACAATACCCGGATGAAAAACTCGTGATATGCGTTGTGCGCTCAAATCAAACGCTTCTATACTTGGTATACGCAAGGTTCAGGTCACGCAAGGGCCATATATGATACTATGGATAGCTGTCAAGTCCAACAACACAAAACTGAATGAATGCTCAAAATAACTGGAAGCTTTATAAGGATATAGAGATGTTCGTACTTGAGTTCACGCGCATTAATATTTCCCAACAAATGATACAAAAACATAGCGATCACAAATTTATGTTCATACATCAGAAAATGACATTCTATTCGCGAATAAAGTCAGTCATCAATTAAACATATCTTTGAGGAATTATCAACTATCGTCAACAGTTACATATTTGCAGACCTATTTTTAAGAGACGCATCGTGGTCTATATCGAATTCACAAATAATAAATATAATATAAAATCGAAAGAACAAGACTTACGTCGTTCGATACGTCCACCACGAGTTCTTGATCGCTCTTGTCACCATCTGATTCCTGTATTGAAAAAAATATTGATGAAGATATTACTAGCTGATTATTTAGGAATGCCTAGTATATGATAAAAGAAATGGAAAATGAAGACAAGCGTCCTAAGTGATTTAAGAGTGTTGCTGCCACTAACGAAACGTTACACTAACGAATATATTTATATGTCAGTGTGAAGCAACCCTCTTGAATCACCTAAAATAGTTATCAGCACTCTTGCTACAGCATCCTTGCATTATATGCATATGGATCAGCGGCATAAAAGAAGGATAAGGAGTTAGTCGCGCGTAGAATCCCAATCGATAGCCAAAAGACAAGATAATAATAATTAGCAATAACTTTACTTCTTTTTGTTAGGACAATGTTCATTTCGATTGGCTATGCTTGTCAATGGAAACTTTGCAAGCAGTTGCAATTGCTGGGATCAATCAAGCTGATGAAATGTTCCTAGGATGACATTGAGCAATGATATAAGTGTCGTTAATTTACATTTCTTTCTCTAGTTTCATAAGTATTTAAAAATTGTTATTGCCCTATTTATTTAAACTCGTGATTCTGTTCTTATGGTGAAGCCTGATGATTAACATTGAATGCAACAACTTAACTGCTTGTTTGGGTTGTCGTGATTCGTTAATGTGGACAGGGCAGGCAATCACTTCTAGTATTTGGTAACTTTCATACGAACTTGTAAAATATTTACTTTATATTTCTCCTCAATAACATGATTATATTCACATTATTAAGGAAATATCTACGCCTGCTTGCCACTCGACCAAGCAAAGCAGTCAGTCAATCGTGACTGGCCACAAATATCCGATCGGGAGTTTGCGACATCGCTTTTTTTGTTTGCGCTAAATTAATCGTCACATAGGCACTCCATTCCACTTCACTGAATGAAGTACCAAGACGTGTCAAATTTCCCCACGAATCGGCGACACTCAAATCTTTCAAAACGGTGACAAGGAGGCCAAATAGTTGCTTTTGTGGCATGTATCGCGTATCGGGGTACTCGAGAGCGATAAATTTGATACCTCTAAACATGATTTGAAACAGTAAATAAAGTTTGAACACGAGACGGCAAAATCGATTAGTGGGCCTTTATCGGCGTAAAATAATCAAGCACATCGCGCTAATCCGTTTAAAATCGTCTATATTATCGTGCTAAGCTGTTTGAAATCTTGCATATTACATCTATTATTGCAGAAACCATGAGAGGAATAGGTATAAGTGTCCCAAAATTTTCAACCTATTTCAATGACGTAATGTAGTTCAATTTTGCTTATTTTAGTGACGGGGGTGATATTTTTTAGTCATTGTATTACACCCTGTTACTCCCAAACTAGTTTAACGGTCATTTTCTGTTAAAGCATCCAGTTCTTATTTAAGCGTTGTGGAATGTAGAAGTTCTAGTTTGTCAATATAATTAAATTCTTGAATTTACAAAATAACAAAACTTAGAATACGCCCCGCCTGTCTCTTATAATTTACAAAATAACAAAACTTAGAATACGCCCCGCCTGTCTCTTATCTAGCAGAGCCTTTGCAGCAATCGATTTGATGTGGCCGTTGCAACAATAAATTTATAAGTAGCTTTCACGTTTTTGGCACATCGTGGTCTTTCGCAATTTTGTTATCGGTGGTGTTTCTGGTTTTATTTGAAAGCTCGTGCCTTTGCTTGTAAAAAAGACAACAAAATTGATAAAGAAAATACGCCGACCAGCGATCTATGATTTCAGACCCTTCATCCAGATATAGAGGTTTGATATATAATCAAGAGCCGTTATCGAACATAATACCGTCGAGAGATACTTGTTACTGTCACCAATTATGTCACTTCTTTGCGTATAAAACTCATCCAAGTACGTGAAGTAATTATGCCAAACAAACTATCGATCTACGAACTAGATCTCTGTTGGCTGACATACCAAGTATTAGCATCGAAAGTGGAAAGCTGCCAACAAACGTTGCATCCATTCTGAGGTCGGGATAATTGTCAAAATTTAAAACAAAGGTAAGTTGTCTTCAAAGACAAGGCATATATATCATGCACAGTAGAAACTCAGACAGAAATATAAAGGATCTTTTGCAAAAAGTACCCACCACTAATGCAAAAATGTGAGATTTATGAAAACATCCCCGCCACGTTTTAAAATAAAATATTAGTAATTATGCAATCACGGTTCGGGTTCAGACTGATTTGCGAATTTGAATTTTCAGTGCAATCTGTATTCCTCATCCTAGCCCTAACTGCATAATTGGTAATTTTTTATTTTGAGCAGTGGCGGGGTTGTTTTTTTGGGCGGAGACTTTCTACAAAAGATCCGATACAAATCCATACAATAATCTACACAAATTGATTCAGTTGTCGTGGTGAACTTTGAAAAGGAATGGACATTTCAACAGCCGTGCCTCTGGATTTTATGGCTGAGGATTCTCGAAAGGGAGGCCTGATATCGGATTTGCCGTTTGCTTATCAATTGACACAAGTGCATTTGAATTGTTTGTTTGTGGCTTTTAGGCGCTAACACATAAAAGAACAACCTATAATGCTCCGTGCAAAAGCAATTTTAAAATATAATTTTTAACCATGAGTATATTTTGTGGTCTTGGAGGTTATATCTGTTCATTATCATATTTCAGTCTGAAATTCTAGTTCGCCTTACGAATTACCAATACAAATATCCTCGACGAGAAAAACAATATTATTTCAAACGTGGATATGAAAACTTTGTGGTTTATAAGAGCTTTGAACGAGTTTGTTGATTTAATGTTATATATATAACGTGAGAGCAGTGATGTGATTTTAATACATTCACAATACAAAAGCCAGGCTAATGGTAGATAAATGCTTCAACTAAATATAAATTTGAAAGCGTTAGAAAGCCCTTATTATGCAGTGATTAGTATAAAGACTTGTCAAGTAAATTTCAACACAATACTTATGCTTACTCAAGTAAAGAAACTAGTGCTTTTTCAAAAATCTGAGCATGTAAATTACCAGTTTGCTGTTTGGGGTGTGTCGGAGGCAAGTCAATCGCGAGTGTTAATCGTCGAAGATCATCTCCTTCGACAAAATAACGCGCTGCAATTTACTTCAATAAATTTTACTACAAAACGAATCAATTTGTAATAGTTGAAGTCGAAATGTATTGAAGAAAATGTAAAATAATGACCTATGAAGATGTACCAGTCCCAACGGGAAGCTCGGATAATCACATTTCATGCCCGAAGAAGGTCGAGTCAATTATTACTCGTGAATTCACGAGGATAAGGCTTTGGTGACCCTTACTTCTTCCTTTACCAACAAGGATCCACCAAACATTCGAATTATGGCAGGTGGAGTAACGTTTTTCATCGATATATATTTTATCCTAGTTGTTCGACGACTGTAAACTGAATGATCATTTTGACACAACCGATTCTTTTGAAGTCGTTACGCTTCGCCGTCACTATAAAGAACAATTTTTCGTATTGGTCGCAATTACTGGCGACGACCGATAGCATACACGGGTCAAATTTCCGTAACTTACACCGCGAGCGTTTGATATTATTTGTTACCAACACAAAGAGTCAGCGTGTGGTTTTGACTTGCCATAAGATCGTTTATGGTTGGATTATTGCCTTCGAACTGTCACGTCATAGATCACGAAAAACTAATAATACTATATTTATAAACGGGATCGTGATTAGGTTCAGTGGAGGATGACCAAACACATAGAAATGCATGGGTGCGAATTTGTAAACATTTGCACACCTTATAGTGTCATTCCTATTCAGAGCTAGGATGTACACAATAAAAGAATTCGTGCATGGCTCTCGAGAAAAATGCAATCTTCTGACAAACTTTAACCAGTTTGAGTGATATTTTAGATTGTGTGAATTTTTGTTGGTGTCTCCCTTCCACAAAGATCTGTAGGTATTCAGTGACTGTCAATTTAAGCACAAAACCAAATCTACCATTGACTATTGTAATTGATAAATGGTGAATGAAGGGATTCAAAATCAGGGCATTTTTGAATCTGCTTCATTGTCTTCTATTTGCCTTCACAACACGATGATTAAGCAAACTGAAAAGCGATCGGGGCCACGCCAGAGGAGATAACATATACAATAAAATATATATCGGGGATAGCTAGCTGTTGGGATATAGACTATAAGCATATATTGCGGTCATTCCGGTAATCTTCAAGTATTTTCGCGACGTCGGGAAACTTCTTGAGTAGGGCTTACGACAAAAGACTGGTCTTTTCGTCCCTAATAAAATGTGCGCTAATTCACAATCACAAAAGATGAATAATACCTTTTCTTTGACTGGGCGCTAGGCAGATGGCCTATAAATTGTAAATACCGAAACGCGATCCTCGTGTCGGGCCGATTCCAATTTCCATGCTGGCGCTCTGTTTACTCTGTAACGTAAACTTACTGAAACGAAATATCTATAGTTCTCCAGATCGCGATTACAATCCGCCGTGATGAGTGGGTTGATTATGATATGAAGATCCCAAACAAAGTACTCATGAATTTTACATTAGATCGGTATCCCGTTGTCTCTACACAAAATGACTAGCGGTGTAAAAGAGACTGCTATCTTTTGTACGCTCGACCTGTTGCGACCATGTAAAGATTAGGTATCGCACCAATCAATTTTATTTATATACGGTACCGATTACCCGCGAATGCTCGAAAAAGTTTAACTTTTCTAGCGACATTCTCGCATTGTTGACTTCGTCAGTTGACATCAATACAATATCATATAGTATACCTCTTTATCAAGTTTCCGTTTTTTACTAGGCGTGTCCATTTCAGGATGTAGCATGTGCCTGTTTCCACCTGCACTGCTGTTTCCGCTGCTATATTCATCTCTTCGGTGAACTCCATTGTTCAAGTTAGCTGGTGATATTGAAGGCTGGAATAAAATAATAAAGAAATGAAAGATTAAAAGAGTTATAATATCAATGCTTCACTACAGTCCAATGGTTCTCAAACGGCTAGGCGCGCTCCACTTGGGGGCGTAGACAATTTTTTGAGGGATAATAATGATATTTGTTAGATTTGATTTTGACCGCATTATTTGAGATATTTACATTTTGAAACTTTTCCTTATTTACGTGTCATCCATGTTTTTTCAACGTGTTTTTTTAAAAAATTATACTTTTGCGTTATTATCTGTTATTGGTAGCTTATTGTTAGCTAGGTATTTTTGAAACGGGACGCCAGACTTGGCAAATTCTGAAAAGAGGGCGCGGAGTTAAAAGTTTCAAAACCATAGGTTGTTCACACATTATGTATATTTCACCGATAACATAAAAACGTGAAAATCAGGTTATATATCATAGGGATGCTAATCTTTGACGGTTGCGGTGCACGCATCTACACGGACCCGAAATATCGAGAAAAAATGAAAGCACTTGAGAATTTGCGGGTTTGCCAACGAATAATACCTTTGGGATATCCATCCTCAAATCCCACAAGTGATATAATGATATGAATTCGGATACGGTATATTAAATGTATGAACGGGCGTAACCACAAACCACTTGCTTCGGGCATAATACATAAACACTTATGTGTCAGCAATCCGAATAGTTGTAATTCTAGAATTTGATCCAACAGTGTAAAAATATATATTACAAATATACAAAATTAGATAATATATGACAATGACATATATATTATAGGCCATGTACATAGAATTTGGGCATACGTTATTCAGTGATTGCTAATAAATTTTCTTAAGTAGGAATTGCTTCTCGATTTGAAGGCCTTGTTAGAGCTGAGTGAATACCTAAACCACCAAACCTCGTGGAATACCACCAGCCCAGCACAACACATTAAATTTTGTAATTTCGAAAATTGCAACACAATGTCATTATATCACAAATAACATGGTATTTGAAAATTACGGATATCGAGTTTCAATATTGCTCTATCATTTGTTGACAATAAGCTTGAGGTTAGATCAAGTTTGAGAAACTCCATCGCAATCGTCCGTCACACAGTATTAAGTTCTATAATAAGAGCCGCTCTGGAGATAATCATAGTTTTGCGTTACCTATATGGTTTGCGGTCAACGGTACTTGTACACGTCTGAAAAGCAAAATACTGGTTCCGAATGGTGTAATATTGAGTTACATGAATTGCCATTCGTGACAGTAGAGGAGAGCTTTTTCAGGCGGTTGAATAATTATCGAAATCGATATTTTACGGATAAGAGGCATTTGAAAAGGTTTGAAACTGAAGTGATCTGAAGCTTCATATTGAGTTTGATCACTTCAATACAAGTTGTTGTTAGATTATATATCAAACCTAGGACAATCGTCAAGGGCATGTGAATAGAGGCCGCTATTTATGGGTTGATCCGAACTTGGCCATATTGTTATTATTCGAATGGTCAAGGTAGTCCAAGTCTGAAATTGTCCTATAATTGAGTTTATTTTCGATCATTTCAAATATATACATTTTACAGACAATTCATAGTATATTACAAATTTTACGACGAAAATATTGCATAAATTATGATTTTACCTACAGATTTGAAAATTGAACGCATATTTCCCGAATATTGTAATTTACGAAATTTGTTCAATCCATATCCTTTGTCTACTGGGACTATTGTAGTAAGCCCGATGAATACTGATCATTCTTATTTTGAATCTCGCCGAAAAGGGCAGTTTGATATTATCTTTTAACTAAATCGAACCTCCTTTTAATGAGGAAAAGATTATTTGGGCAATACAAATTAAACGCCTAGTCAAGTTGGTACAAACAACTAAGTAGACAAATTGCCACATACATTATCTTCTTACAATTACCTAAATTTGTCATCTGCATCACCTTCATTGTTACGTATAATGATAAACAATGATAACATCAAATAACGACAATATTGTGATATAGATGACGACGCAGGTGATAGGCGGATTACTTTTGGTCACAAGCAATTTCGTAAAGCACACATATAATCATTTTTAAATAACTCCCCAGGCGATGGTTAATAGACAACCGCAATGTTCCTTTCAACAAAGCAAAAGTGATAATGGCCCAAGTAGAGAATTATGTCAGGCCATGGAAGTCTGAGGCTTGAAAACATTTCCAATTATAAAATAATGTCAATCACGACTATTCTAAAACATCGGATCATAAAACAATTAGGCATACGTCACTAGTCAGTTATGCAGATCGTGCGGTAAAAAAACTAGCGATACAACAAACTGATGAAAATGTTCAAACATTTTTCTTATATCATATATTCAAATTTTGAGGAACCATTTTGTTATCTATTCACCACAAAAATAATTTGTCAGATACGGAGTAAGCGATTCAATGCGTGAACGTGTAACATCACTTCGTACAGTATACTATAGAGAATTACGACGTTGTTTTCGTCTGGAGAAATAAGTGGCAACGCTAAATGACATCACGGTATCGAAAGCCCTTGAATTTAACAGCTTTAATGGCATACTATTACCTCTGTAAATATCACCTTTCTAAGTGTTGTAATGATATGAATCAGTAGGAATCAAATTACTGGGTGGAAGGCTTCCGTTTTGAAAATTTAGTGTTTAAAATGTAATCATTTAAAGCAGGAAGCCGTGTTAAATCACTAAAATTACATAATCTTTCGACAATAACCCAATCAGGTTATGACAACATAAATAGACATCGCCGACGCAATAAAATGATATTTCTCCGAGGACGTAATTTAAGCTCAAAATGAGCTATTAACGAGATATCTCTTAAAATCAATAAAACGGTAGTATTAGAATATGGAAGACTAAAACACATGCTGGAATGCTAACAGATCATCACTTGCATAACAAATATCTCTTAAATATATAGCGTCCAGACAGATGCTATGGTGACAAAAAAAAACTGAACAGATCACAGTATCTTTGGGGATTTTCAAGAATCCTCGTTGTTCGCGCAGAATGATATTTCGGATCAATTTAATAGTGCTGAATTCCCCACAACAGCTGCATTTATCCGACTTAAGTCTGTACTCAGATGAGAACTATGAGTGACAAATGTATAGCCACGCGAGGCGATGCTTTCACACAGATGAACAACAGCTTTCACAAAAATAAATCGGGTGATAGACATCACAAGAAAAAATGAATCACTCGAGATGTATGTCGATTGTTCCAGCCATATCAACTATGAAAACAATCAAGTCTTTACTAAAGAAGGTACAATCACCATAAGGATATGATCCTCCCTTGAAAATAGCTAAGTATGCAAAGCTTGATTGCAAATATATTATGCCGCGGCGATCTTACTGGAAAAGTGCTATGCAGTTAGCCAAACTTCCATAAATAAGGGAAATATTATATAGAACGGGTGACGTTAATTTTGACAAATAAGTGATCTTGCTTATCCGTAAAATGTAACTATAACCAGAAAGTTGTGAAAAAAACTGTGGATTGCTACAGGTCAATAGTTATATTTCCTTCGTGTAAGTAAGTAAGCATCGATTAGAACGTTATCATCTTTATATAGGTACCGGGTATATGTAAATTCACGATGGTAGAGACGAATGGATTAGGCCACAAAACTAAATCGAACAATTCAAGCTGCAACATAACAAGTTGAAATCTATATTTCAGACGTGATAAAATTTCGTTGAAAATAATCCTTTGATTTGCTACTGTCACGAGTTCAGAAGTTTGAGCAAATTACAATTGCGGTCAGACAGCAAGCAAAATCTTCGACACAACCGTAGTATTAAATGCATTTCTTTATTCCCTGGTAATACAACGAAATTAGTCGAGACATATTTCTGTGCACTGTGTAGTAATCCACGTAACAATAAATACGGTTACGGTATAATAAAATATCGTTCCGCCCAAGATGCTTAACTGACCGCAAACCGCTTTATGGTTTATAATTAGTCGGGCATGGTTACGAAAAATACTTTTCAAAATTACTAGCGATTACGAAGATTAAAGCTAAAACAAAAATAAACTACAACATGACATTAAAAATGTCAGTGATTCCACTGAAATATATCTGTAATTACAACGTTTCTTCAAGTTTAAAGCTGCCAAGCATCAATTAAAAAGAGGTTGCTATCCATGCTATCCATTTACCGCCTGTACGTCCCCTTTAGATAGATTAGTTTTAAAAAAGATTTAAACAAAATAAAACCACAAACGGTGATGTAGTTGATTTCTTGGCGTAGTTCGGTATAGATAACATCCAAGTTTACCAAACATTTGTGTTTTGTCAGTCAGCGCGTATGTGTGCTGTGAATACAAATAAAGCCAAAATCCTATTAGTGGTTGATGATCCTATCGCCAAAAGTCCATCATTCTATGTTTCACGACTGAGATTTAGTCAGGGTGTATTTGAGTTATAAACATTCGATAGCCTGTAACCCGATCACGTAACCATGATTGATGTTCGTAAACACGATGGTCTGGTGTCGGCGTATTTTGGCAGAATACCGAAAACCACAACGTACCAAAGGATGTTTACTTTCACGTTAACAGTAGTGCACAAAATATGTATAACCTTAATAAATTAGACTGGAAACTAACAAAATAGATACCTAAAATTCATGGAAGTACAAACTTCAAATTTTGACAGTTTTGGTATGAATCCAATATCAGAAGGCATTATTCATAAAAAAACTAATGATAATAAAATTCTGTCATTAATATGTGATGATGATAATCGGGATTTTGTTTTTTAAATTGTCGATTTCGAGAATATGAAATTGCCACATCAAGTTGTCAATTAATGATTTCTGCACTGTTGCACAGAAACCAAATTTCGCGCCAAGTTCATTGTTAAACTTTTAATTTGTAATGCTCGTTGCTTTCGAAAATCAAGCAAATTGTCGATTTCGAGAATATGAAATTGCCACATCAAGTTGTCAATCAATGATTGCTGCACAGTTGGACAGAA